TTCAGTGGTGGTCTGTGTGGGAGCCTGGAGGCCATTTATAAAGCCAGTTAATGGAGAACCAGAAGTCCCAAATGAGTGTTTTCTCAGTGTTAGGGAGCTCTAAGACAGAGGTTGTATAATCAGTTTGAGCTGCTGAATGGCCTCTATACGTCCATCTTGGTTCCATCTACAGCTGTAAATTATAAAGAAAAAAGTTACAATTCATTCTACAAAAGCTACAAACGAAGGCAGAAGCAGTGAGATGAGGGAAGGGTTTGTGGAGGACTTTTCTTCTGTTAGCCCAGTTCTTTAGTTGGAAACCTGACAACAAACCAGAGTGGATCAAAAGTATAAAGATGACATTTATTGAATTACAGTTAAGTATTTCAGCTGGGCTCTAACAGACAAAAACCTCTCTCTGGGTCTCAGTGGGCAAAGAGCCCTGAGATCTGGGTGATGGGCATTATCTCCTGGGCTCCATCCGCCTCCTCAAAGGAGGACTGAACAAAACCAAGTCCTATTGGCCAGTTACCTCTGGGCATGAACAGGCCAGGTCCTAATTCATGCGGGTGTGTGTTTGTGTTGACGTAAAGGTGGATCTAATCTGTGGTCACAGCCAGAGACTTTAACACAAAAGTTTAGCTCTAAAAGGAACAAGAAACCTCAGTAATTTACATAGATTATGTTATAGTATACAGTGCTTAAATAAGTAATTATAGCCCAATTCTAACACTTCAGAGGCTCCAGCTTTAGCTGTTGGACAGACGGCCTCAAATCTGACTCTGAACTCTACTGGAGGAGTTCACGGTGGCTGTAAACCTGAAGGCAGCACATCCTCATGACTCCCTCCTTGTTTGGCATTGTCTTAAGACACCATGCTGCTATTCAAAGCTCTGAAAAGATGGAGCTTTTTTTTTTTTTTCACACATTTCTCCTACATTCTTCTACATGTTCATGTCCAACTGACACCTGGTGTCAATTTACTTAAGTACACTTAAGTTCACTGTACTTAATCAGGATTTTTTGTATTTTTAACTAATTTATTTATTTATTTATTTATTTATTTATTTATTTATTTGTTTATTTGTTTATTTACTTACCTATGTATGTATTTATTTATTTGTTTATTTATTTATTTTTCTTTAACTAATTTAATTTAACTTGATACTTTTTTGCCCTGTAAGCTGCTGGTAACCTTAATTTGCTGAGGGAGTCTTCCCAAAGGATCAATAAAGTACAAGTCTAAGTCTAAGTCTAAAAATGGTCTCCAGCTTAACCCCGTCTCTGTCCTGGTCCCTCAGACCCGTCCTCGCCGCCGGCTTTTTCCTGGCACTGGTTTTACGTGGTGATGGCCGTGGCTGGCGCCGTTGCCATGGCAGTGCTCACCGCCGTTTATGTGGCCAAGCTGCGGCGCAAAGAGACGCGCTTTGGGTACGTCTGTCTATCTATCTATCTATCTATCTATCTATCTATCTATCTATCTATCT